GTGCTACACAGATTATTAGAAATGGGTTAAGCAAGATATGAGAGTTAGCCAAGAAAAGGCTAGATATAATGGGCCAGGCAGTGTTTATATGACTACAGTTTGTGTGTTGTTATTTCAGGTGTAATGCTAGCCATGCGGGGAGCCGGGTGGGATGAAAAGCAGGCCCACTCCCCTCACTACACCATCTTATAGAACAAAATCCTTCGGTGATTTTCTGACTTCCTATACTTCCACTCCAGCAAGGTCTTAAAGTCTTTTTATTTTTCTAATGTCTTCTATGACAACTCAGGTATTGAAATTGGCTTAGTGTGGGCAGATTTTTCTTCTGACTTGTAGTGTAGATGGAGCAGCAGGCTGCCTTCCTGCCACCTGGCTCCCTTCCCTTCTTCCCAGCATTGTGTTCTGTCTACTCCACCTACCTAATTTTCTGACCTATCAGGCCAAGCAGCTTTCTTTATTGATCAACCAATGAAACAACAGATTGACAAATGACCTTCCCACATCATTGTAGGATCCACTTCAGGGAGTTTGTACCATGCTCTGAGCACTTCTTGTGTCAAGTCTTATGTCCTAGACACTGTTGAAGCGTCTATAAAACCCAGCCCCACAGAGAAGCCTAGAAACACCAGTTCCATGTGTCCTGGATGCACTGTGATGTGACCTAAACCTACAGACCTGGCTAGCAGAAAAGGGGGCAGACGGTGAGGCAGGACCCTAATAGATCTCAGAAAGATGTATACTTTCACTAGGGAGGCATGAGCCACCCCCATAAGCCGGAGCACTTTAGAGGACTCAAGAGAACCAAAATCTTTGGAGCCATGCATCCAAACAACTTCATCTTGTGTGTCAGGGTCTCAAGTTTTCCCAACCTGGGTCTTGACCTTTATGTAACAGATCTGCCTCATCTGGCATCCAAGCATTGATGAAGCTGAGTATCTTAAGTCCTGAGTCTTCAGCCTTTCGTTTTGCTCATGGGGACTGAACCTGGGGCCTTCTACATGCTGGGCGCACTCTACTGCTGAACTATATCCCAGCTCCAGGACTCTAGTTACACTTCTTACACTTCTGTGAAAGGTGACTTTGGCAGCTACCCAGATCTTTTGTTGTTCAGACCTGATAGTTTAACTTTTCAATAGCCTTCCATAAGGGATGCTATAGAAAAAAATTCTATTTCTTTCACCATTATTATATTGAAGTTAAATTCCCAATATGGTCTCTCTCTTCTCTCTACCAATGACAGAGGTCATACAGGCACACAACGATATGGCTACCTAGAGCCCTTGTGGTCACCGTCGTCCACGCTCTCCAAATGTCATACGTCATATTGCTGAAATCGTCCCTTCCTTTTAATCTCCTCCCCCCCCCCCCCCCCCCCCCC